TAGCACAGCTCCAGCCCTTTTAGCCCAGCACATCCACACCAGGTCTCCAAAGGTGTTGTTTAACATCCCCTGTCGGGGATTCCAACAGGTGGATAAAACATTGCTGTGAAAATGTGCTCAGAACAAGACAGAACTGCTTGACAGAGCCAAGTCAAAACTACTCAGAAGCCTTGAAGATGTTCCAAGAAGGACAGAGATGACTATGAGGAGGATGGGGATGGAGGGGTGGGTGTTTTGGGACCACCAGCTCAGCTCTGGGAGGTGGGGCTGAAGGGATGGGACAGACGGTGTAACCAAGGAGGTGATGTCCAAATATTAGAATTAGATGGTGTTAAAAAATTGTAAAGGCCTGTACTCTGTGTGTGTGTGCAACACACCCTTGTGCACCAGAGTTACTACAGTTAAAGAGCTGCTTTCTACCTTTCTCTACTCCAAATTGCCCAGAGAATTATTTCTCCCATTTTAGGCAACAGACACCAGGGAGTGGAGGAAGGACAGGCCACCAGCACCACTAAACCCAGCACTGGGCTTCAAACACTCATTTCAGCTCAAACTCAGTGCACAGGGGCTGGCAGGTCTGAGCCAGCAGAGCAAGGAACTCCTCATCCTGAAGGGAGGGGCAGCAGCCAAGTTGTCTCCCTGGGGCAGGGCTGATCCTTCACCCCACGAGCAGGAGGAGCCTCATGGAATCACGGGACGGTTTGGGTTGGAAGGGAATTTAAAGTTTATCCAGTTCCACACCCAGCCATGGGTGAGAACCCACCATCCTGGTGCCCTGAAGGACCCCCTGGGATCCCATGTCGGTGTTTTGTCTTTGCTGCAGCACAGCTGGGGGTTGCTGTGTGTGCCACAGAGCACTGCCTGAGGCTGCAGCTTTCCAGGCTCCCTGGATGCATGAGAGACATTAATTGGCACCAAAATCCAAGGAGGAGAGGTGTCAAAGGATCATGGAATCCCAGACTGGTTTGGGCTGGGAGGGACCTTAAAGCTCATCTCACTCCACCCCCTGCCATGGGCTGGGACACCTTCCATTATCCCAGGTTGCTCCAAGCCCTGTCCAAGGACACTTCCAAGGACGAGCATCCACCACTTCTCCCTGTCCCGCCTCCCTTCCTGGCCTCGATGCTTCTGCTCGTGGTTGGCTCCTCGCCACGTCCCTAAAACAAGTGCCACAACCCCCCCGGGTGGCACCACCACGCTGAGCACCCCCAAAGGCAGCAGGGTGGGCAAGGGGTGGCCCAGAGGGGGTCCCTTACCCGTGCAGTTCCTCTCCTCGGCATCCAGAGCGAAGCCGTTGCCGCAGATACACCGGAAGCTGCCGATGGTGTTCCGGCACGTGCCGTGAGTGCAGAGGCCAGAGAAGACCTTACACTCGTTCACATCTGGGGGTGGAGAAGAGCAGAGGTTCGGGGAGGGGGGGGGGGGGGGGGGGGGGGGGGGGGGGG